CATCATGTGTCAGGAAACACTGACATAAAAACTACACATGACCTTTCTCTCCACATTTTCTGTATCGGCGTAAATAAATGCAATGCAGATATTAAAGAATATTTACCACTTTAATGATAAACTTACAGAATGGAAGTTCCCGCGTGGCACAGGAGGTAGGAAGGAAAGGGCGGAGCCGCCTCCCTAGCGCCCATTTATCTGTAGGCATTCTCCGGAGGCAAACCCCGCCCCCTAAAGGGGCTGTCTTAAGCCTACAATTTTCTTCATTTAAAAGCTCAGTAGTGTCAAAACCCTCAGCTTCCTATTGAGTCTAAAGGGAGTGACATGGGTAGTGTTTGCCACATGTAAAAGAATTCATCTGACCAGAAACATTTTAATGTTTCATTCATCATTCAAAAAATATTTAGTGAGCACCTACTATGTGCCAAGTACCGTGCAATAAACAAAACAAAGACCTTTGTGTTTGTGTAACTAAAGCACCATGATGCACAGCTAAGGATCGCATGGACAGTGTAACCATCAGTTTAAATACATGACAAAAGATGAGTAACTTCCTGGGGCAGAGTCAGTGAAGAATACAGAACTTCAGTGGGGAGGTTTTACAATTTTATTTTGGCTTAGACTATTTCCAAGATCAGTTTTCCAAAATGGGGGTGAGAAACCATCAGTTTGAGTGAGAGACATGTATAAGGCTCTTCATTGACTATCACTGTTTTATGTGACTCTGCTCCTAAAAGTTGTAGAGGCTGATTAGTACATTACACATGGCGCTCTCTCTCTCTCTCTCTCTCTCTCTCTCTCTCTATCTATCTATCTATATATATATATATATGCATATATATAATGCATATATATAATGCATATATGTGTATGTTGAGGATAGGTTGTGTGTGATTGCGTGTATGTGTACGTGTGTGTGCTTCATTTTGTTCAATAAATGTAGCATTGCAGGAGGTGATATAAAACATTTCCATGTCTAAATGGCAAAACTTTGTTTTGTTTTAGAGTCAGGGTCTTGCTATGCCATTCTGGCTGTCCTGGAGCTCAGTACGTAGAGCAGGCTATCCCTACCTGCTCTGCCAGGACCCGCCTCCCATGTGCTCAGGCAAAAAGCAGGCAGCTCCATGCCCAGCAGCAACTTGCTTTTAAAGAAGCACCAACATAAGTTAGTCTGTAAAGTTAGTCGAAGTTATGCTCTCTGTCCACTTTGCAAATTAAAAACGTTATTGGAATTTTGCAACTTTGCCATTTTAAATATGACCTAATTTTAAAGTGTTATAGAGAAACTCACATGCCTAAATTAACATATAGGGTCATAATAATCAAATTCATTGTCTGTAGACTTGCAGCTAAAGCAAGCTAAACAGTTATTTTATTTGAGGGGATGATGGGCAGCAACTTTTTTGCTTGTTTGTTTGCCTTCTACATTTTCAACTTAAAATATTGCTTGTGTTAGAAGTCTTCAAACTTCTAATGTATTGTTACTCAACAGTGTGCCCTGCACTAAGTTTATGTGGCTGAACTGTTTAGGGATAAAATAATCCATCTTTGATTTTGTTCTACTTTCCACCATATCTAAAATAAAGCATTGAACAAGTTATATAACACAATCACAGAGATTTGGAATAAAATTTGTCCATAGAGAGCCCCAAAAGCAAATTACATGAATTTCTCCAGCAGAATTAGGGGTAAGTGCTAGCAGTGGGTGAGTGTAGACTTATGAAAACTTAATTAGGGCCTGCCATTCTTCATGTTTATCATATTCTACTTTTCACAAATGCAAAAATAAATATTTTTTGTTAGAAGCAACTAATGTCGTAATTGTGAATTTTCCTCAGCCCAGGCAAACAAGAGGACTTTCTCGAGGAACAGACAAATCGCAGCTTGGACGTCAATTGAGCTCTAAGATCTGTAAGAAGGAATTTTTAAAGTGTTAATTAAATGCTTGTTAATATTCTGGATAGGAATTCCTTCTCGTGAGAGGTGAGTAGTGAGCCTCTAAAGAAGGTAATAAGCACTCCTCAGAAATCTGTATAGAAAGCCTTTTTTTTTTTCATTTAAGGGATGGTTTAAGGTGAAACAAAAGGCATTCTTGGGCTGCATTTCCGAAAGAATAAACATGCAAGTGGAAAGAACTCAGTAGCTTTACAACAATGAAAATTTAATGATGTAAGAAGCAAATCTTCAATGCGAGGAGAAATTTGTCAGCAGAGATTTTTTTTTTTCAGTTCAGCATATTATTGTATGGTTGGTTTGTTAATCTAGTGGCTTTGTTATGAAAGGCCTTGTCTCTCTGAGTTATTCCCTCTTCTTAAATTTTTATTGTTGTTCTATTCTTGCTTAGCAAACTAGTGTTGAATGTACAGAAGCCTGATTCCTCCTGCTTGTTCTGATAGGAGGTCTTCTTCTCTCTCTGTGTGTCTCCTTAGATTGGCCAGAAAGAATGTATCAATAAATGAAGGAATCTTTCATTGTGCTTTAGATACTACATGACAGTGCACCCTGGGCAAGGGCTAAAGTAACCGAATATATTGTAGACTTACTGTTTCAGGTGCCTCCCTCTCCCACCACCCTTCAGGCACCCAGCAGCTGCTCCCCTCCCACTCACCTAATATGCCTTATTTTCCTATGTTCAATACCATGCTCGAGATAGCTATAGTTACTCTTTGCTACAGACCGCAAAATTAGGAAGTAATTCAAGGATAGCTCTAAAGAATAATATCTTTATATTTAATAGAATCCAGGTCTTTCCAGGGGGTGGAATGTAGGTTTCAGGAATGCCCAGAGTCATTCTTCTCCCATCAACTCAGGTATGTATGTTCTTTAGCTTCTGCTAGTAAAATTGATTTTTTAAACCTTAGATTTAATGATATACTCCAATAGAAACCCAACTCAAGCCAAGGAATTTTTCTAAAGAGAAGAATAGACAACAACCTATTTTTCAAATATGACTGGCAAAAGTAAGGCCCTGCAAGGTCGGAGGAAACCTATAGAGCATCCTTTGTGTATGAGAAATCGGTCTGACTCCCCGCAAGTGGCTTTCCTTTGATTTGCATGTTCAGAGTTTCCAGGATAATTTCCAATTTACACAGGCACAGTGTAGAGAAGGAAGAAAAAAGGCCATGATTTGTATGTTTTACCCCTACCCCCCGAGACATTTTTATAAATTTATGTGAAATTAATGCGATTTATTTTAAGTTTAAAAATGCAACTTAAGAACTTATGTTATTCTACAAGAATCATCCCTGAGCCACACTCTACTCTCTTAATTTTAAATAACAATGAGTATAAAATTCTAGAATCCAAATAACTCATTTTCATCTTCGAGGACAGAAGAGAATGCAAGCATTAGGGCAACAGAGTCTCAACATGTTTCTGATTCCCTTAAGAATACATGGTAAGCATTGACATAATTTCCCACGTAAATGAATCAAACTAACACGTACACAAAATTTTACATTTTAAGGTTATTAATACTTCAAGATCTGAAAGTGTGGTAGGGGAAAAAACCCTAATGTAGAAATTATTATAGACTACATGCCTGGAGAAAATGGGAGACTTACATGAACTGCAAAATAGCATCAAATACTAAAACAATGTTGTAATTCATTAATTCATTATAATTCATTAGACAAATGTCCCAAGGAGAGGGCAGAATGAACAATGATTGTTTTCGGGAAATGAATTGCTAAAAATGAGTAGAGTCTGCAAAGACCTGCTCTGGAGGCCCAGCTGGGCTTAAAAGGGTGTATGTGTTGGGGAGGGGAGGAGGCTTTCAGCCACTGTTAAATGTTTGAAACACCACTTTAGAAAATAAAACCACGAATGTCTCATCAGTTCTTATGACATCAGGCTGACTCTGGCTTGCATGCTTTTTCCCCTCTTTTGCAAAGATGAGATCTTTAAAGCATGCACAGTGGACGTTTTACATTGATTTAGGCCAGTTGGAGAAAACACGGTTCAGTGTAGGGTTTCAAACCGTTCCACTAAATACAATAACATTTGCAGTCATGGCACCGTTCCATAATAATTTTAAAAGATTTCATTTTACTTATCATTGCAAGCCATTATCTGATCATATTTGACCTACATATTAATATTTTCATTACCATTCAAGCCCGTTTTTTTCTCTGTACAAATTGTCAGCACTCTTCACAGAGATATTATTTATTTATTCTGGAAATATCTGGAATTCTTTCACCCTACGTTTTCCTTAGGGACTCTATCCCACTCTCTAAAGTATTGATATTAATATCTGGGGGAGGGGAACACATCCAATAAAAAACGAGGGAGAAAAAGAGGTCCCTCTTAATGGTATACTACAGGAGAAGTAGAAAAACAAAGGGGGAAAAGAAATGATAATTGTTTTCTCTAAGGCTATTATCTAATGCGAAAGCAAATAGTCGGTCTGGAAATCAGCTAACAGAAGGGGATTAGAGAGATCTGAGAGTGGCTTGATTTCTAGCTGAGCTGTCTCTGCAGCCAGTGATGAGACACAGACTGGGCAGCTAGGAGCACTCCAGATGGCCAGGGAAAGTGGTCGTCTTGGGTTACTGCAGGGCACTGGGGCCACCAACACATCCCGAGCCAGGGAAAGCATCCTCAGGGAGCCAGTCCCACGTCCAGCCTGGACCAGAGAGGGCGAGGCCGGGAGTCAGGCCTCCGGCCCGCCAGCGCACCCCTGCGAGCCGGGTCTGCCCATTGTTAACATATACTTGACCTCCGTGACCCCCGCACGACACAGATGTCTCCCACCTCCACCCCTCCTAGTCCCCCCCCCCAGCCCCCCGCACCTGGTCGCGGCTGCGCCGCCGCCTCCCTCCCGAGCGGCCACGGCGCCCCCGGGTGCGGGTGCGCGCCGCAGCCGGCCTGGTGCGGGCGCTGTGGGCGCTGTGCGCTGCGCGCGGCGCTCCTGCTCCCCGGCGGACGCCCGGACGCCCTGCAGATAAATGCAGTCGCCTTCCTCGAGAGCGAGCGAGGGCGGGCGAAGAGGACGCAGACGCCGCCTGTGACAGCGGCAATCCCCTGCGCCCCACATCACATTTGTCTGCCACAGCAGCTACAACAGAGGAGCGAGCGAGCGAGCGAGCAGGAGAGCGGAGGGAGGGAGTGAGGCGGGAGGAGGGGAGCTGAGCTCGGCGCGCGCCGGGCTCCGCGTCGCAGGCTGCGTCTGGCTGGCGTCCGCCACCCCGGGCTCGTCGCCCCGCTGCTCGCTGTGCGACGCGGCCGCGGGTGCTCGGCAAAGAGCAGGCGGCCTCCAGGGGAGCGCGCGTGGGCGAGTGGCCGCGGACACTCTGGCCTCGCGAGTGGAGCCACGCCGCGCCCTGGTCCTCTGGCCCCGCGGGCCGCCCCCGACCGCTGGAAGTTTTATTTGCAGCTGGGAGCCCGCGGCGGATGGTGGGACTCTCCGGCCCTGTGCAGTGTAAGTGCCTCCGGCGGGCGGGCTGGGTAGGCGGGCGGACGAGCGGGCAAGCGGGTGGCGGGGACCGGCCTCGGGCTGGGACTGTTAATTACCATTGCAATGACCGTCAGCTTCGTTTGGATTAATTCGACCGAGAAGCTGGCTCTGGGCTGAACTTGACGCTCAGCTAGAGTAGGACTGCGTAGCAGGGCAAAGAAGAGCATCGCGGTTTCTGGAGTCTGCGATGACACTGAACTTCGCGGACAAACCAAGACAGAATTTTCCCTCTTTTTATTTCTTTTTCTTTCTGTCCTTTTTTTTAAACACTAGGAATTTTAAACATTCCTGCATTCTCTTTTTATTTTATTTAAATTTTTTTTTCATGAAAGGAGATTAGAAAGATGAGCATGTCTCCTTCGACTAAACAACTGGACTAGGTGTCCACGGTGTGTTTGGCAGGTGGCTCCACACCCGCACCGTGAGTTTTTAAAACTGGAAACGAAAGGCTGGTTCTCAAGCTGGGCACCTTAGTTCTAGGAGCAAGACGAAGAATCCTGACTTGGTACCGGACTGCCACTTGGGTAGGGATCCTCTTAGCTGCATCCTGGCTCTGTGTTCCCCCGCCTGACAACTTTCTCCTTATCCTTGGGTATCCGCGGGTGCTTTGATGGGAAACCCCCGAAAAGGACGCGCAGGCAGCTTCTCGGAGCCAAGCCTCTTGCTAAAGGCAAGTCCTGAGCTTCGCAGCCGGGGACACCTGGGCAGCATCGCCTTTGTGGTACTTCAGTGCACCGCTGGCCCAGTCACCCTGGCCCTCCGGGTGTTTCCTTCGCAATCCCGACCGGGTTACGCCTGACTGTTCAGAGCCCAGAGCAGAATGTAGTGCTCCGTAGCTCCCGCCGGGCGGAATCCGGACCCGAGCTTTAGCAGGAGAATTTATTACGTTTTGCAGAAATCCCTCAAGGAAAGTTCCTGGGGCTAGTGGATTCCTGGGACCCGCCGTTTACCATCAAGGCGAATCTAGAAGGTCCAGGTTGGTTGGCATGTTTACACCCGCTCCCTGGGTGAACCTTAGCCTGCCTGGGATGATTTAAGCAAATACTGTTAGGTCGGCATAAGGCATTTAAGCCCGGCTTTTGAAACTGTTTTTTCTTTCTTCTTTCTTTGTTTTTTTGCAAGGTCAGTTAAGCTTTGGAAAAGTTTTGAGTGTTTTGATTCCGGGCAGTAGGATGTGAACCAGGACTGTTACTAAAAATAGCCGCATTCCCTCCCCCTCTTCCCCCTAGGCTGTTAGAGCTCGTAGGATTTGGCCAGAGCCCTGGAGCGCTCGGCCTTCCTAGCCCCTTGCAAAGGGGAGAGCAGAAATCGTTTGAATTTGGCTTTCCTTCAGAACTGGGCACCACAAATCCCAGCGTGCCCCAGCGTGACTGGTGCTTCCTGGGAAAATGCACAGACTGAAGGTTGAAAGGAATTATCTAGTATTCTCTGGGAAGAGCCCCAAAGCCAAGGAGTGAAGACCAGGGGAGCTGGAGAGGCCACTCCAGACCAACTTCGTGTCCTTAATGTAACTCTGAGCCCTCTTGAATTTTTAACTTCGCTTCCCTTAATTAATCTGCCCAGGGCCTGTATATAAATGGCTGTCCACAGCTGCTGCAAATTGATTTATCTCCCGATAAAGGTCGGGTTGCTGACCAAAGCATTCTTTATACCTTCTGTGAGAACTAAAATGTGTTTTACAGGATTCCGCCCCCCGCCCCCCCCCCCCCAGTCTCCTCTTCCACATCTGTACCGTTTTTTAGTGCACTCAGTGTCTCTTATTATCATTCCCCTCCTTTCCATAGATCTGGGTCTATGCCCATGGAATCCACACTCCCCAGAATACAAATCGAGCGGCTTCTCCTTGATGAACGGTTTGTTAACGTTAGGGGCCTCCTTTTAGCTTATGGTAGCTCTCTGCCTTGACCACGCAAGTGTCCTGCTCCCCTGCTCACCAGTTCCTTAGAAAGGGCCAGCACACACTATCGTTTCTTAAGCCTCCAGAGCCTCGGTTTTGGTGTTTATGTCAGTTGTTTGGTGTTTATTCCCACTGCTACTTATTTCTCCCATATTAATTCTTAAAGTGCTGTCTAGTTTTAGCACTGTGGTGGCTGTCAACGAAGAGAGATGGGCTACGTGGTTTCATTTTCTTTTTCCTATTGTTTTTTAAAGAGCTGCAAGAGTCTCATATGCTGTTAACTAGAATCTCAGTTTGATCCACGTTGTTTATGTTTATTTAATTTTCCAGCCAGAATAGGTATTCAGAAAGCCACATTGTTCCCTTATTATACTGCATTTTGCATGTGATGTTTTATTAATTGATTCTTTAGAAGACAGAATCCCAACAAAATCACCAAGGAATCATTCTGGGTACATGGAAATTGACGGGGTTTTAGCTAAGCCCACGCTTAGAGAAGAACTTCATGAACTTCGTATTAAATACATTTGTTTAACCATTAATTATAAACTGTGTAGATGGCATCCCCTTTATTTTAAAAACTAGGAATTGTGTGGGAGAATTTCAGCCTGCGATTTTGCCGGTGTCTGGTTCTCATCTGATAAAAGCAGCAGTGAGAGCACCTGGATTTTTTTTTTTTCCCTCCATTATTTGGACAACTGCAAGCAGACCAGAAGCCTCTGAGATGATATTTTTCTTTGTTGACTAGGTCTGTTTCACCACCAGGACCTGCTAATAAAGACTCGGTTTTTAAAATGGTCTCTGAAAGTGCCTTCCTCATAAGAAGGATTCTGCCTTCAGCACAGTGGAAGCTGCACCATTAAGTGACAAGTTCCTGGAAATAGCAGGACAGCAACCTCTGAGCTCTGGACTACAGCTTTGCAACACTTACCCAATCCTTCTTAAGCATTGCCCTTGATGTTAGCGTCAGCAGTGAGATTTCTCATCGAGGTGTTAGCCTAAATATTTTTGGGTATAAACTCTAAAAATTGTAAAGACCCTCACAAATGTCAGGTGCCGTTATAATTTATTTTATTGTAAAATAGAGGCTTATCCCCCACACCCTTTTCTTCTTCTTTTTTTTTTTAAACATTGAAAGGGGATCACGAGAAAGCAATGCTTCCATTAAGAATGCTGGTCAGTGGTTGTCAGTTCAGGACATTCTTCACTGTCAAATCCTGTTTCTCACTTCTTTGATATGAACATCAGCTGACAGGCCCTGAATGCAAAGCCTTCTTCATTGAGGTTTTATGCAGGCAACATAGCCCTCCATAGCAAAGCAGTCTGAAAAATTGGCACCTGCACAATTTGCATGTGAAAAAACCCAAGTCAGTTGCATTTTGCTGGAGTCTATTACTGTAAGTTATGTAAGTGCAAAAGGCTATTTATTTGTTGATGTTTGGCCGTCTAAAGGTTATTTATTATATGGATACCTTATTCATCATATGGTGATCTTTGGTCGTTATTGATAGCAAAAGCAGGACAAACTGAGTTTTTGATTTGTAAAGTTATTTATTATGAGGTGGGGTCATTTAAGCCATGAGCTTACAAAAGTCATTTAGATTCAGTTAACATTTTTAAATGTGCTTTGGAAGAAGGCTTTGAGAACAATCTGCTAAAAGTTGAGTGCATGCATGCAGTTAGGCTAACAGGAGTACCGGTTGACAGCAGTACAGCATTTTAATAGTTATGGACTTTCAGAACCAATTCAAAGTCCCCAAGACCATAGACAAACATTTCAAACTTCTAAACTATGTGTGTGGGGAGGTGCTGTTTCCACTCATTTTGCTTGTTAAATTGTAGTTGTTACCTATATGACCTCTTCAGAATTGTATTTGACCCCCTTTGTATAAACCAACAGACACATGTTAAACCAACTACAGAAACCTTTGTGAAGCCGGGACTATTGTCCATCAAAGGGGAGATTTTATCCAGAGTAAGCTACTATTACTACCTACAGAGACACCTTCTGAGTTCACCTTTCTACAGCCATTAATATAAGAGTTCCTAAATAATGTTTAAAGAACAGTGAACATTTTATTAAAGCAAACATTAGTTCAGTTTAATGGAGGTAATTGTAAGCGATAAGACAGAGCGGGTTATCTCTGCGCTGTCTAAACAGAAGGAAGCACCCTGCACCATTTCCAGTAGCCATCTGTAGAAGAGAAGGGTTTGCACCTGTCTGTCCCCACTAATTATAGATTAAGGCCAAAAAGAAATGAAATTCAAGGAGGTTTTCAGCTAATGAAATCCATACTGATTTTTACTGTAAATGTGTTTTATGTAAAGAGGAGGATGGCTGAGTTATGAGGAAATAAATCGCTCGGTAGCTGCCAGGCACTTGGTTCTGGAGCACAATTCTGCTGCATTAACCTTTGATATTTAAAAAAAAAAAATAAAGACAGCAACTCGGACATGGGTGGTAGCCTTTGTTTGGCATCCATAGTTACAAGTTAGTGAGCAGCAGTGGGCTCAGCAGCCTGGAAATGTGCAGGACAGGAGCTCAGACGCCAGCCATGGTTCCATATTCTGAATTGCAGATGAAGGGAGGTCTTGGGTTAACTTATGCATGGAAAGAATTTTTTTTAAAAAAAATTAGAAAGCTTTTTTCCCCCTTTTCTGCATTTTCAGCTTCACATCCATGAGAAATTAAAGCGAAATGACTGAGGAATGCATCCTTCAGTGGAAGGTCACACGAATGCCTCCCACATCTGTTTATAGCAATTATGAACATAATTAACATAAGAATTACAAATGAAATAATGACAAGCTGAGCAATGAGATATTATGCCATAATGGTCATATGTTGGAATTCTCACATTATAGCACACTAGACTTCACATACTCAAAGAAAGAAAGAAAATGCTAGATTTTTATCTGAATTAATGTTTCAAAACTTATCTGCCTGGGGCAGATGGACTCCTTGCTTTTACAAGAAGGTAACCTATTATTAAGAAAAGGACTATTGAAATTAAAATTTTGATCCAGCTTGGTTGCCAAGTTGTCTGTAATTATAGGTACCACTTTC